CCCCATCTTTTGTAAAATTACACAAAGACCCAAACTTTCTCAAAAATACCCAACAACCCCCAACATATCAAAATGCCAAAATTTAAAGACAAAGCTCATAAGATGGAATAGGATATCCCCACCTCGAAGTTAGAGCTCAAGCGGAGAAGAAGACCAAACTCAAAGTGCTCCAAACTCCAAACTTATCGGATCAAAATGTAGCCCTCGATGATCAACACACTTTTTGTAAAGGCCAAAGGGTAGGAGAACACTCTAACTAGATCAATCCTAAGAGCGAAGGGAGATTCTAGAGAGAGAAGCTTTCAAAATCGATTTTGGGAAAGTAAGAGAGAGAGAGAAGAAGTGTAAAAAGTGATTCAAAAATGCCCAGTTGCCCATTGATATACGACACTCCCACTCGAGCGGAGAATAGAACGCTCGAGCGTCAAGCACAAAAATCTGGACACGCTTGAGCGCAACAAGGCCCGCTCGAGTTCCAAGACACAAGAATAAAATACATCCGCTCGAGCGCGAAAACCAGTTCGCTCGAGCGTAGATTCTCCTCTCCCAGTATTTTCACAGACAGTGAACACCCCGCTCGAGCGCCAACAAACCCGCTTGAGCGTAAGGAAACCCGCTCGAGCGTGAAAAACACATCTGCAGAAGTTTTGCAGAGGCACAGATACTGGAAGTGTGAAAACTCCGCTCGAGCATGAAATGTTCCGCTCGAGCGGACAACCAAAAATTTGGGCAACAAGAAAAGGGACTAAGACTCAACCAACCTGTTCGAAACACGCCCAACACATCCTAAAGCTCAAACATAAGGAATTAAAGGATGACAACAAGACATATAACCACCAACTCCACGGGACGTAAGTCCGGAATACAGTAAATAAAGAGAGGGAAACCGGGATCGCTATATCCACAACAATCATACATCTCAGCAGGTGTTATATGCACGACAGCCGTGCCCACAATACAATTTACATTGCAAATACCATCATGTAGAAGTAATAAAGTCGTGTGCTATAGAACTTTCCTTCTCTTTTTCCCTCTCTTTTCATAAAACAGTCTATTACTTTCAAGTAGGCAGAGAGATGCTCATGAATTCACGAAAATATGAAGAAAAGAAAAAATCTAACCACCTGATCTATACTCTCCTGCCTAGTTGAGATATACTCGAGGGAAAAAAGAACAGGAGGGATAGGTTTCTTCTTAGCAACGGTAATCATTCCATCACCTTCTTGGCGTCGTTAGAGCAATGTCACCAGAAAATGCTAATACCTTAGCAAATTATGTTTTGGAACGCACATTCCCAAATAAAGTACACTTCCGTTCCAAAATAAATATAGTGATTCAAAACGATCCCAAAAAAAATGTTCCGCTATGTTTCCTTAAAAGTGTCTTAAGAAGAAAAAGAATCAAATATAATATAAGGTAAGTGCAGTTTTGACAAGGCAATGTCAAAATTAGGTCATAATCCTCGTAGAAATGTTTTTCTACATGATTAATTTGGAGGGAAAAAACTAAGGCCAAGTTTGACATCATTAAAATAATCCATCTTTTTATCTTTTTATCTTTTTTCCATTACATCACCTCTCTACTTTTCTGTACATCTTTTCGTAAAAAGACAAAAAGTGTACTTATTTAACTCATCCCAAACAAGCCCAAAATTTTATTAGATGGCTAATAATATATATATATATACATACATATATATATTTTAAAGATTACTCTAGAAGTATCTTTAAATCTTATATTATAAATTATACAAATCTACCGCAATCATATTACTTTTTAGAGCATATGGTGTACCACATTTCCATTCCCATTTTACGTACAAGAACAATGAGGCACTTTTACATTCATTTAATTTTTGAATGGAATGAAAATTTTGTGATCCTTTATCTTTGCATTATTGATTTTATAGGGGAGTTATCTTCTGTAGATGCTGTATATGATATTTTTGTTATCTTTTTGTATACCCCCCCAGTGTACAAAGGTTACGCCCCTTTTTTGCATTTTTAAATACAATCATTTACCATGTGAGAGAAACAGAGAGAGGATTTCACCCAAGATAGTCAAAACAGTGTCTAGCTTTGTGATTTTGCAGCAATCTAGCAAATTACTGAAGTAAAATTCAAATGTTGACGGGATTTGGGAGAAAGCAATGTTCAGAAACAAAATGATTTTGCAAGTTCCTAGTTGATTTCCCTATTTACATATTTGAATAACTGTCCAAAAAAACCTGGTTTGCATACAGATATGATGCACTTCTCTTTTATGAGAAGTAAGAAGAAAAAGGAAAGAAAATAAAAGAAGATAAATACAGTAAAAAAATGTGCACAGTGAAAAAAAATGAATCTTAGCAAGAAACAACAAACATTTCAAGATTATTTACATCAAACATTTCAAGATTATTTACATAGGCTTAGCACTGAAATGTAAGAATTGATCAACCATCATCTAAGGTGAATTCAAATGTCAATGAAAATAGAATTTCTCTCTGCACTGCAAATATGAACATGATGGGAAAAGAAAACCCATCCATCAAAGACAAAAACTTGAAAACAAAAAGGACAGACAAAAAAAGATTGTCTGATATCCTTTCTTTTTCCAAATTTTTTTACAAATACGCTTTTTTGATATAGAACGTTTTTTTGGAACTGCCATTTAAAAATCAAGAGGTTACTCATTATTCTAGTTGGATGTGAAAGACATTCCTCTCCCCAGCCATTTCGGGTTAAGAAGATGTGAAAGCGCATTTATCTTTAGTTTATCTCTATAAGAACGTTGCATTCCGAGGTGTGAAATGCATTCTGAAGCCATTTTGTGAAATCCTAGTGCAGATTCAATAGTGTCAACTCTAGAATGGCTTCTATAAAAAACGAACCCATTTAACCAAGCAAAATATCTTCTGATATAATGTTGGCAACAGGGAAAGCCTTTTGACAGGGTAACGATACACAAACATAATTTACATGTATTCATTTATTCGAAATTAAAAAGCCCGTCACTACGAATCATAATTCCAACTCTGCATGACTTTTCTGCATAAAAAATTTGTATGTTTAGCATTTCCCTTTTGACAGGACAAGACTAGGAATCATACATAACACACAGGAGGCCTGAAGTTTAACAAGGGTCTATATCAATTATCATATTCAACTAAAAATATAAGCATAGTTCAGTTGGCTATACACAAATTACCCAACCCCTGTACATAAGAGATAAATAAAAGTGGCTGGTTCTATATCCAGTGGTTCAAACAATCACAAAGAGTGAATCAACACAAGGAACTAATCAACATAAGCCACACGCGAAGAAACATGCAACATTTTGGAAAAGTCTGCTTTGGATAGGATGTCTACATAAAAATGAAGCTGAGATGTTGCACGAATAGGGTGATGTGGCTATCTTCATAAATTTGTTATTATTTCTGTTTAAGGCCAATTCTGGTTCTTCAGTCTTCTTTGTTCTCTCATTTCTTGTGATGTGTAAGTTAAATGCCTCGGTATCCCCCATGACTTTTAAGAGTTAACTACAGGCTTGAATGGAAAAGCCAAAATGTCTTTGGAGAACTAAACTTGAGTTTAGTGACTATCAGAGTAACCAAGTAAAAAATATGGCCTGATAAAATTCCATCCAGTTAAGGTCTCCACGGTCCCAAGATGTAAATTCATGTTTACACAGAACGTAACTTCTTTTTTTTATAGTCAAACAGAACAATACTTAAAACAATTCATTTATAGTCATAATCAGATAACTGATAATAAAATAAATAGTTTGTCCAGCCTGTTGAAAGAAGCATTTATAATGCAAATGCATTCACTAGCTCTAGCAAATATGACCGGTCTTGCAAAATCATTGATATGTTGAGCAATACCTGTCCTCGAGGCATTAAACTATCTACAATAGACTCCACTAAAGGCTTCTGCAAAACCCTTCTTTTATGATACTTTTTCTTGAAATGAGGGTCTGGACACTGCAAAATAACACACCAACAATTGTAAGTTTTAATTTAAACAACAGCCATACAATCTAACCATTAAAGAAAATCCTTCTTACATAAAAATGTGAAAAGCATTTCTCATAGAATGTTCCAGTACAAGAAGGCCATGTTTGTTTGGGCAGACATGTGCTTGGAATTGGACTAATAGTCTAATAAAATTATAAATTCGATGTTTGGTTAAAAAATTGAAGTACGAACTAACAATCCATCCGAATATGGTATCTCACATATGATGAACAATTCAATCCCATACAGGGGGTGGGATATAAATTGGGGAACTAAGTCAAAGTCTAGACTAACTTATCAAATAACCATAATAAAGGTATTATGGTCAGTATATTGGATGCCCCATGTCCTATCCATTTCAATCCCCTTAAACAAACATCGGATTGGATAATATTTTATTAATCCCTCATTAAAATCCTAACTCAATCCAAATATAGGATATGATACGCAATCCAAAGGATTCGTAGTCCTAGGACTATTTGTTATGGAAATGTTAATCCAACCTAATCCAGTCAACCCAAATAAAGATAGCCAAAGGGGACTCACCAGGATGGAAACTAACATCAAGGGTCCGGGGTATGTCGATATGAGTTGTTTGAAAGAAACCGTTGCATTTGCAAACATGAAATGTCTGCATTCAGATATACATCACAACATAGCCAATAAAACCTCGTTCTTTTTCTCTTTTTATCAATTTAAAAATAAAACCAGGAGTCATAACTTGGAACCTTACATATTTCTTAATGCCAACTCATTTACCCAGTGCTCAGCACGTTTGACCAACTGCAGACACAAAAGAAAATGTCACTATATAAGAACAAATTCTTCACATTATTTAAATTTCAAGGGGAAATAACCAAGCAATTATACATTAACTCAATCACAGGAATTCTCAACAGGATTTGATAACCAAGGAATCTGTCCCCATACTTTCTTCCGTATTTCAAGTCCCAAATAATTCTTCGAATCCAGATTTCTTTTTGCAAGCCACATAAGAAATCTGCCACTACCTGAATTTTTTATGTCGTTAGAGCAATTCAAGAAACAAGTTTGCATACTTCTCAGACCATAAATTAAATCTAACCTGAGAAAATGAGGATTAACAACAATTTGAGCATCAATTAAATGCAGGTCATCACATGTAATAATATAGACATCAAAAATATATTTCTCAGCTGCAACACAAGAAATAATCATCTGTATCTATATACATTAATTATATGGTTTAACATTATCGAGGGAATTTAAGCCAACTCCTGAACTGATGAGAAGGTTGTTCTTAATTTCCTCTCCTCAAAGATGTCATTGTATTATATGGTTTAACATGAAAAGCAATAGTAAAGGTTAGGTTAGTTACAACATGCATTGGCCAGATCATTGTTAGGTACACCACAAGATATCATCCTCCCTTTACATATCTACTATTGTTTGTACTCTTCTTTTGCCGTTACTTCCCCATTCTGTAGACCCTAGGAGCACGCCATTCATCCAAATCAAACCAACAATTCATATAACAATTGATTCAAAAGGATGAAACCATAAAAGCAAGCTTGGCTCAGAAGCTCTCACTGAATATATGAAGGATTTAAAAATTCAGAGAAAGTAATTTGATAACTATTGGTAGATAGGAAGGTCAAAGATATAATATTCAAGACATACAAATTTATACTTTTTTTGGTAGAAAGGCAGGCCAACTTCAGGAGGTTGTGGGTCATTTAGTTTATGAGTATTACTTCACTCCAGGTACAAGTAATCTACAACTCAACAAAGTCTCATTCTTATGTGTTATATCATTCTATCTATCGCAATGTTCAACACATTTTCGACATTTTCATTGCATTCCTAATCACATTACACTACTATGATGGTATTCATAGAACCTCTATTAAAGAAGTCAACTAGGAAATAGCGTGTTTAGATTCAACATGGAAATTTATTTAAAAAAAAAAGAGGAAAGAGCTCATTTAGGTGAACTTGCAATCTTGACATTATAAATAAAAGTTTATCGATTATAATGAGTGCACAACTTCTAGTAATTTCACTGTAGATTGCAATATTTTATTTAAAGAATGCAGCTATCATTAAAAAATAACCCACTAATGCAGCTACCCCTGGCATACTTTACTTTCTTTCACCAACAACCACCTTTTTTTTTTCCTTTTTCATGACTAGCAAAACTAGAACAAGATTTGAAAGTCTTGGTACCACTATTTTATAAACCCCAACACCTTTTATCTAAACACCATCAAGAAGAGAGGTGGAGGTAAGCTCTTTGACTTCACACTCACTGAGATCTCTAGAAAAGTTGACATCGCAAGAGAAACCATGAATATCATGAGAAAGGCTAAATGCAGTCTCCAAATACATAAAAAAATAAAAAAATAAAAAGTAAATACAAAAAATTTAGAGAGAGAGAGAGAGAGAGAATTTTGAGAGTCAACAACTGAAAAGTAAATTTTAGAGCAATATTCCAAGGTGCAGCGTCAAACATCAATCAATATTAGATTCTAACTTTTCCGAAGACCAAAAACACAGCTTCGTTCTTTAACAAAATCTCCGGAGTCAATTTTATAAGAATGTATTCCCAGGGACTACAATGTTTAATCTACCACCATCACTTTTGGGACAACACACAATCACCCAACTCAGCCCAAAATTTCCTATCCAAGACATCCACAACCAAGATAAACGAGAAGGGGAGCAATGGGTGATCACCACTCATCAAGCGCATGCAGCCTTGAACTAATGTTTGAACCCTTCATTCACAATAGTTGCACTCCCAGGGTGATATTTTAAGACTTGGTTATGGTTTAATATGCTCAGGCCCTATTTGGAATATAGATATAACTTCTCCTGCCTGTTCATTTTGAATTATTTAATGCATTTTATTGCAAAAATCTCTCGAGGTCAACCACTTTTTTTAAGGGGAGGGCATTGCTGCCTTTGAAAGCATTCCCTACCAAAGGCTACCCCAATCAATCCAGGTTTTTTTTTCCAGACGAAACCTTTGACATTCTTCATAAACCAAGAACCTGCTTCAGGGAAAATACAGCTTAGTATATCAATCAGCATGCTTTGGGATCCCTTCCTCGGCTCAACAATCGATTCCAGATTCATTTATATTAGAGAGGTCAACTTCAACTGTTTAATTAAAGCCCTATTGTTATAGACATAGCTATCATAATGGTCTACTGAAAAAGATGTCAAGGTCAAGAAATTGTATACTTGATGTCATCTATCTACAACTGAGTCCACGAGGACATAAAAACAATTAACAAGGAAATAGCCCTAAAATTATGACCTTTTTGGTTCAATACGCTCATGATATGCAATAACATGACAAATGACATTTGATCTATTCAGATGACCGGGTTCGGGTCGTGACACAAACACTGTTGTCAGTGTTGTGAAACAACTAAAATATGAAACAACGTTATCGAATATTGCTAGTTCTCTAGACCTTTTCATCAGGTATATACAACATATTATAAGCTTGAGAGCTCAAGTTAAAACTATTAGATCACCAATTATCTCAAAAGTTTTAAGTCCATAGAAAATAAGTCCAACAATTATATCAAGTTATCCAACACACTCTCTCAACAATGTATATCAAGCTACCCAACATCATCCCTCATGTGTAACCTCATCTTGCACGTGAAAATGTGAAACATTCATACATGCAAAGAAGCAAAATGAAAATTGGAAACAAATGCAAAGGAAAAGACTTGAACCCAAGACCTCCTGAAAACCAAAGCTCTAATACCATGTTAGATCACCAATTGTCCCGAAACTGAAAGTTTAAGCTATTAGGAACATCGTATATCAAGTCAACTGACAATAACATCAATAGAGAAAGAGAAAAATAATGTTGAAAGCATCAGGAGTCGTTTGTTTCTTAGGGTTAGGTTTAGTGGAGTAGGTGAGGTGGTAGTGTTGTAGTGGGTTAGGTTTAGTGGAGTAGGTTTAGGTGGGTGAAGTAGGTGGAGAGTAGGTGGATTTTAACATCCACCATAAGTGGCAATGTCGAGTCCCTATATACTTCACTCCAGTCTGGAACTGGTGCCGGCACCTGGCCAAAATAAAGAAAACAAACATTTTGAGTGAGAAAAGCTCATAATGAACACATTAGATTTCTCATAAACAGAAATGCCCCAAAGAGAGATATTACCGAGAGTGACGCACAAAGAGGGTTCACATGTTGCCTAATTCGAACATGACCCAAGTCCTGCAACAAGCACATGCTCACCATTTAAGCGAACAATCAACCAAACCAACACAAAATTTCCATAAAGAATGAAGATATTTATCAAGATAAGGATGACTATGGAATGAAATTTACCTTTCATGGTCAATGGTAGTGAAAAACATACATAAAAAAAATAAAAAATAAAATAAAATAAAATCTTTATTTTAGATTCAAAACCGATTAAAGGAAGTTTTAAAACTTATAATGACATTATAGACCATTAATTTTGAATTATGATAATGTGTTGCAACTTACAAAATGAAATGGAGATCTCCACTCGATAAATAAAATGGAGAGGATCAAAATCTAGATCAATTGCACAGAGGATTATTCATTTGCAATGCTCACCACACAATTCCATTTACTTGCCATTGAAATCGCACCCATCAAGAAAGACAAAACATGTGTGTGCAACTTTACCTCGGAAACTTTGTTTTCTATGAGGGCATGTCCAATCCTTTACCCAAACTCATACCAAAATAAGTTTTACTCAAATTTTTGACCCAAATCAATGGCAATAATTCTACACGTATTAACAATCTTACTAGAAATCTTACTGAAAATACAAGAGGCTAAATGTGATTGGTTGTCAAAAAAACCATGATATTTAAACATCCAATAATATTTGAACATGTATGTTTTTAGTAAGATTGTTAGTAAGAATTTAAGTAGATGTAGGATTGCTCAATCAATGGAGACCCTTTTTTTCACTCAAATTTGTAAAGACAATTAGGGGTGATTTGGCCATTGGAGTCCCCTATATCAAATTAAGGTTGTACCCAAATTTGAGTAAAAATATGAGTGAAGGTTGGAGATGGCCTAACTTGCTATGTTTTTTTTTTTTTTTTTTTCAATTGGTAAAAGATTAATTACACATATGAAAAAATTAAATCAAAAAATGGACAATTAAAATCCAAAGCAATAGCTAGAATGCCAATAGTAACCAATCCCAAACTTGGAAAGAAATAAACAACTACATACAATCCATAATGGATAAAGAAATAAAAAAACAAAAACCACAAAGAGACCGAGTGAACAACTAGGCCAAAGCCCTCGTTAGCTTGCTAGGTTGGTCGTTTCCCTCATAAAATTGAAATTACAACTATGAATTAAAAACCCAGAAAAAAAGAAATCTATATGGATATAATTTATATATACCTGGGAAAAATTGTGAGAGAGATTGAGGTCGGAATATTCTAAGGCGACGAGCTGGGGGCTTGTGAGTAGTTGTCCCTCTTCTTTACCAACAGAAACACCTACTACTCCTCCTCCGTTACTACTACTACTACTACTGCAAGGACAATGGCGATGAGGTTGAGGAACAATTGAGAGTTGAATGGAAAATGATTTGAGTTTTGGAGTGGGATTGTTGTTGAAGCGAGACGATAATAGTATTGAATACAACAAGGCCTCACGGGTCCTGGGCACGGCACAGATAAGCGACGCCATTTTTAAGCAAAATGCGTTATTTATGCAGAGACATTTCCCTGTATGTATGTATATGTATGTAGATACACAGACACAATCGTTCCTCGGTCGGATACTTCTTTAAAACCCTTCTCAGCTTACCATCTAAAAACAAAACAAAACAAGCAAATGATGTGCATTCTAGAAGAGTCTACATATATACTTACGCCAAGTTTGGCATGATTGAAAAACAGATAAAAATTCAAAAAAATCACTATCCTATTTAAGTCACATCATCTTATTTAAGTCATATCACATCTCTAACCCATCACTTCAAACCCAACCCAAACTCAACCCATATTTCATAAAAAATCAAAAAGTGCACTTATTTAGTCTTCCCAAACTAGGCCTTATTGGGTGGCACATACGATGTGTGTGAAATTTAAATAAGCAGGAATAAAAAAAAATAATAATGAAGTTCATATTATAATGTGTACTTAGCTTAAGTGGTAT